GGAAGTCCAGGAAGACTATGTCCACTGCTACCCCTGCATCTAATGATCTGGTGATCTGATTGTAAAAGGCCACCAGGTTGGTCTGACAGGACCTGCCACTGATGAACCCGTGTTGGTTGCCCCTAAGCATGCAGCCCCCTGCTGGCCCCTTGTGGATGTGTGCCAGAATAATTTTCTCGAACAGCTTGCCTAGGATCGAGGTAAGACTAAGTGGCCTATAGTTTCCCAGGTCCTCCTTCCTCCCTTTTTTGAAGCTAACTCGCAGTCCCCCAGCATCCCAGGATGTTTTGCACCTCCCCCGCAAACTGCCCCTTGCAGGGTGGGTGAGCTAGATTTGGCTCAAGCTGTCTACCCCAGCCAAGCAGGGAGGTGTGCTCTCGCCACACCCCCCGGCTTCAGGCCTGCGCCACTGCACGCATGTGGCTAGATTTCTGGACTCTAAAGTCAATGTCTGTTCACTGGCTTATCTGTTCAATCTATGCAGCTTAGATTAACCTGCAAAGATTGAGTCAATTCAGCCTCAGGCTTTTAGACTGTCTATACTTAGCCTCCGACTCTCTTCTCAATGTACTGTGTGTGCAGTAAGCATATTGTTAGTGTTTCTTGAAATAATAAAAGATGTTGTGTTAGTTTCTTCATAGCATTTCTTCATGACAGAACAGGACACTGTTTAAATCCGTAAACACTCCACCCCAGATACCACCTCCTATATTGGTATCTTTTTTGTACTTAGAAGGTATGAGTACAACAGTTGCTGTAAAGTGGCTAAGGCAAGCAGTTTAATCGCACTGATTTTGTGCTCTGAAATTATTGTTAGCTTCGTTAAGAAAAATCATTATTATGTTGTATGAATTTCTAAAATATAAATAAAAGCGCATGGCTGTGGAATCTCAAAAGTTGGTTATCAACAGTATGTCTGTTGTTGCTTGTTTCAGGAAAGATGTTGGCTTAAGGAGATTTTTTCCGAAGAGTTTGTTGGATTCTGTAAAGGTAATTATAGTTCCGCTAAATCATATATTATATTATAAATCTATGAACAGTATATTTTTCAGAACACTTGAAGGAAATGTGAATGATTTTGGATTCCATTAGTCTGCTTTATATACCTAAAGCCTGGTAATTCTTTGTCTTATATAGTAGTAAGTGGTAAGTTGTATAGTTATTTCTTGGTGAGAAACATACTAATTACTACCTTTCTCATATGTCAGTAATGTAATGTGTAATACCATGTAGATAAACAACAGATAGGGGAACTGATGACATCTGGGATCTTCACAAAAGTGACATGTGACATTGCAGAGTAAATATTAAAATAATAGGTTTTCTCCATGCAGTCCCATGAACAGTGCCTGAGTCTACTCGCAAAGTTACGCTCTGTTATAAAGCACCTTCCAAAAAAGATAAGAGAATTTTGGCGGAGGAAAACACATGATTGAGAAGTCATCAAAAGCTCAAAAAGAGCTTGCCTTGGTTAGCTTAGCAAAATTGAAGGCCTAGAGGCAGTGTGATTGCTCTCACTACATATATTGTGAAAGGAACACTAGGAAGCAATAAAGAACTAGTAAAACAAAGACAATATTGTCACAAGAACAAAAGGATAGAAACTGGCCATAAATGAAGTTAGGCTAGAAATCAAAATAAATTAGAAGTGTTTCTAATCACCAGAGATGTAATTTCTGGGACAGTCTTCCAGTAGGAGTATGAGGGCAAAAACTACAATATTTGGAAGATGGAGCTTCATCAGTTTATCATAGGGATTACAGACAATCCTCAATGTATGGCTTTGAGTTGCGATGAACGTCATTTACTACGTTCATAAATTGACTCACCGTTTTGACATTCTGACCTGGGGGTCATCTTTACGACAGTCGATACAGCTGTGTGCAGCTGGTAAGTGGTGGAAGGGAAGCGCTGTGGGGGGCCAGATCAATGTCCCCTGTGGTGAGGGAGGGACTGGGGCTGAGGCAAATGCTGCCCCGCTGGGGCCAGGGGGGCACACGGACAGGGAGGGGCGGTGGCTCCCACCATTGCACACTGCTCATCTGATGGCTCGATCCACAGTTCACACCGCTGCTCCCACGTTGTGGCGAATTTTCAGGTGGCTGCAGCTACCCCGTAGCCCCCACTCTGGCACCTGCCACAATGCCAGGGCACATTCTCCCGCCCCCCACCCCCCCCCGGCGCGGCCTCAAATCCGCAGCTCGTCTAGAGGGCACGGGGTGGCAGCTCCTGCTGCTGCACGCCACTTGTCCTAAGGCAGCACTGTGGCTCCTGTCCTGTGTCCACCCTGCCCAGCTGGTGAGCAGTGGGAGGGCATGGGGGGGTGCCCAGAATTGGGGTGGGGGCTGTTGGGCAGCAGCAGCCACCTGAAAATTCACTGCAGCCCGGGAGCAGCAGTATGAACCACTGGTCAAGCCATCAGAAGAGCAGCACGCAGCAGCAGGAGCCACTTCGCCCTTCCTCACCGCGGGGGGGACGTTGATCTGCCCCCCCACGCCACTTCCCTTCACCTCTTAACAGCTGCACGCAGCTGTATTGAGCATTGTAAAGGAACCAATACCCCGTTGGTAACACTGTTCCTATGGGAAAATTGGTCCCGAGTTACAATGTGTCAACCTTAAACACAGTTTTCAGGAACCAATTGCGTCGTAAATCTGAGGACTGCCTGTATATGGTTTATACGACTGCAGCAGGCTCATGCACACAGGGGTGGCTGTGATGCTCCCTGGTGGCCATGCAGCCCTTGCCTGGCTTGGGCTTGACAGTAGCCCTCCCTTGCTCTGCGCCTCACTCTTATTGAAGATTGTGTAAGAGAGGCTGCCCATTGGCTCTGAGTGAGCCTGAGCCTATGTCAGTCCCCACTGGGCTCCTGGGTCGTCTTAGTCACAATCTTGCCCCCTAGGTTAGTAGGCCCTCTTGGCTTGTCCGTACCTCTGCCAGATAGCCTTAAGGGCAAATTGTGTGACTCCGTTCCTCCCCTACACAATGCCCCAAGTCTCGCAGGTGTTCTCTCTCAGTGATATTGTCTATCTAAATACTCAGGTCCCCTTGAGCCTTTGGACCACCTAGTCCCTTACACAGTCTCTTTCTGAACTCTTGGAACCCCAGTCACGCACGCAGCCCCTCCTCTGGGCTCCTGGACACCCTGATCCAGCTCTCAGCCCATCTCTGGGCTCAGGGACCATCTAGTCCAGCTTAGCCCCCTCTGGGCATATGGACCCTAATGTGGGTCTCAGCCTTTTCCCAGGCTCCAGGACCCTTTACTGGGCCCTGCTTTCAGTCCATGGTACCAGTTCTCTAAGTAGGCCTTAAGGTGCCGCAGCAGGGCTCAAGGCTAAACCACCAGTGCCACTTAAATAAAAGAGTCTGCCAGAGGGCTGAGATGCTTCACCTCAAACCCTCTCCGGGTTTATCATAAAACAAAGGCCACTTGTGTATAAAATCTAATATTTCTCTGCCCAGGTGACTTGCTTCTCTGTTCCCAGGCCTGTGGAGTCATTTATGTAAAATACAAGTCCCTTTAGGAGGTCTGCTGCTAGGAGCTCCTCGCTTCATGGCTGCTGGGGAGAGACTGCCTGATGGGTTCAAGCTCTGGGCTTGTATAGCTCCCACCTGGGTCAGGCGAGTCTTTCATTAGCCCCCTTCGCCACCTGCAAGCGACCTCTCAGGCTGCTCGTGCCCCCGGTGCCCTGCTAAAATGACCTAGTTCCCTTCAGTGTGGGGGACTACTGAACTTGATGACCCAGGAGGTCCCTTTCAGGCTTGTGTTCCTGTATACAGTAATTTTTACCTATGAGAAGATTGTTCTCAGCAAGCTGGCTTCTCACTTTGGATTAAGTCCAAAAAAACCCACCAACACCTCAAATGAACCAGTCTGTTCTCAGATAAACTGAATTAATTTTTGAGATCCTCTTTCTGAAATTCAAGGGAATATGTATGCCAGGTTTCCCCCCATTATAATCATAACAGCTCAAAACCAGCTCCTAATAAAAATGCTGAAAGATCTGTAGCAGTGTCACTGCTGTTAGGTGCCATTATAATATAGCAATTAAAGACATATTTTGTATGTGGCCTCACAAAATAAAAACACTGCTTTAGTCTCGAGTTACATGTGCCCTCAGAGAATATACTTACATTGACAGAAAATGAGTACTCAGTTTTGGATGTTGTATAAAGCACCATCTATAGGCCATTTCACAGTTCCCTTTCAAGCTTCCTCTGCAAATTGGAAAATTATTGTTTAAGCCACATCTGGCTAAACTGAAGAGTGCTGGTGATAGAACCTGTAAGAAGATGTGAACACAGAATCCTTCAGATGTACCTGATGTCTAACTAAATTTGTTTTTGAAGGGTACATCAACATTATTTCTTATGCATCTTCCAGACATACAACCACAATATAAGAAATAGTTAGTTATTGTCAGACTTTCTCATGGTTCTAATTTTTTTTGTGAAAGATTTAGTTTTAGCAATAAGTTGCATCATTTCTGTTTTTGTTGACAAAGTTCTGGCTGGAATGATCTAGTTGGAGATCGTCCTGCTTTGAACTAGATGACTTCCTGAGGTCCTTTCCAACCCTAATTTTTTATGATTCATTGAAGCAATTATTATCTTTCATACCCCCCTGACAAAGGACGTGATTCTGCCTTGAAGCAGGATTTTGTCATTCTGAAATCCCACCGTGTTTCTACATATTTGCCAGTCTGAAAGAGCCATATACTGTTTCCCATTATAAAAAGAAGGTGCGAGTTGGCATTGTGGTGCCCAGCTTGTCCTGGGCACCATGAAAACATCCTCTGACTCCCAGATAATTGGGATGCCCAGGACCCTTCAAATTTAGGGGTTTTAATTTAATATGTTTACTTTCTGTAGAATCTTCCAGTATTTTGTTGAAGTTGAATTAAATTTAACATCCCTTTCTTTCCTGTGAGGGATGAAATTATAACCATTTTACAAGAGAAGAAGCAGAGAAAAAAAAAGTTGTGACTTGCCTAAAGTCACACAGGATAGCTGTGGCAGCACAGGTGGTAATAACTAGGTATGCTGATTCTGTCTTGATCTTTATCCAGCAAGTTCCCCATTCCCTGTTACGATAATAACCCACCTAGTATTTGGTAAAGGGTACTGCTAGACGGAAAGCATTGTTGTAGCAACAGCAAAAATGGCACCCTATAAACAATAGAAAAATGATTGAAAACGTAGTTTGTTGGTTTGTCTCAGTGATGTGCTGATCTAATGCTTCTTCTATCATTCTTCTAATAGACTCGCAGTGCTTGCATTCTTGGTGACTTAACTCTTTCTCAAAAGAGTTTAAAGTTCCTGGCATGTCCTGAGGCTACATAGCTCTCTCCTGAAAGGTTGATCCAGGGCCTGCTGAAGTCAGGTAAAGAATTCTCACCGACTTCAGCAGGTACTGGATTGGGCCAGAAGCCAAATGTCCAGAGTTGGTCATCTGTATGTATTATATATGTGTATAGATGTCTGTGTGTACTGATGTCATTGGATCACCTTTTGCTATTAAAATATTCTCTCTCTATCTGAATTTCTTAACTATTCCTTAAATGATCTTAAAAACTTACTTAAAACAAATTTACAGTTCAGTTTAAACAATGGGAGTTGGATGTCTCTGTACAGAGAGGTAAAAGATAAAGTTTAGTTTTCTGTGCAGTGTTCTGGACTGTTCCTGGGTGATGTAAATGATGTGTAAGAGGTACATAAAATTAGTTTGCATAAAAGGAAGCTGCTTTTTATCATTCCATCCAGTTATTGTAGTTGCAAGTCAGGTTTTGGTTTGGGGAAAAATAAAAATGTTTGCATGTTTTTGACAGTCTGGCACTATGGCGTAAGCAACTGTGAAAGGCATTAAGTCAGTTGGTATTAAAATACCCATATGCAGCATACAAAAATTCTTGCTCAGATGCCTAGGACTTGCTTAATTTATGGAAGAAAGACACCTGAACAGGAGGTGGAAGATTTTCAGAAGTGCTTATTGTTGTTTTAATTGATGTTACTTAGATGTAATCTTTAAGTTTACTGGGAACAATTAATCTAAGGCTGCATACACGCATTTAAATCATCTGAGAGAATTTTCCTAAATACTGATTCCTTGAATACCAGAGAGCATTCAGTGCAGACAGTTTGCAGGCATGTAGCTCTGATGTATACATCTCCCTCAGTCTACCAAGAGACAGATGGCAGCAGCATACAAAGTAGACCTGATTGGCTGCCCCGGACTGCTCAGTCAGCCTGTAGTCTCCCTGCAGTAAGATGTGGAATTGTAAAGGGGGCATGTTCTGCTCTCTGCTCAGCTGGAACAGCAGGTAGTTTGCTAAGACACTGTCTCTTCTTCCTGTGTAACAAGTGGGGGAAAATCTAGTGCACTTGTGCTAGTAGCCTGCAAATTAATTCTGAAGGCCAGATATTTATATTAGGGCCTCCTTGGCTTTGGAATTAGGTCTGCTTGTATGATTTCCCCATGTTGCCAGAGGTTGGCTTGAATGTGAAGGGAGGGATTTTTTGAAGATAAGGAATTGTTTGAGCATGTTGAATATGTTGCTTTTTGAGTTTGTGCTTTTTATTGAGGCATAGAGTGGCATAAAATCAAGGCATTTCCTTTTTTATATAGCCAGATGTTCAGCCAACTTTATAGTTCTCTGAATAAATACTTTTATAAAGTCGCAGCTGCTTCAGAGCCCTGTACTAGAACATGTGCTTTCCAGAGCACACTCTTCTAGTTCCAGAATAGAAAGCGTGGTTCCTTTGACTGCTCCAAAAGGTCTCACCTTTCTGGACTAGAGGGAAGACTTTGCAGCTTCTTTCTAGGATAGCAATATTTAATAAAATAATTTAAGTTAATTTATTTCTAAAAACTTGGATATCATCTGAGACTTTAAGAATCCAGACTCTTAAGTATATATGACTAGAGGAAGATATGCTAGCTTTTATCGCATTTGTTTTGATTTCAATGGGATAATTCATGTGTTGGATCAGAGTTTGTAAGACAAAAAGAAGTTATACAACCTTGTGTGGTTAATAGGAACAAATGTATTTGGCTCCTTTATTGGACTGATTGGAAAAAAATCAAGAGGCTTTGGTTTTCATCTTGAATTCAGGATACAGGAGGGTTTTGTTGCAATGGAAAAAATTAACATGACTGTTTTGTATGTAAATGATGGTATATTCTTTAGAATTTAAAAGATATATATACACAGAAGAACTTCTCAGTCATAACGAAACATGAGTATCATTACAACTCACCCACCCACTTTATTAATATTACTGTAAAGAAAAAAAAAACTTCACTTTTGTGTCTGACTAGAACAGGATTCCTTAACAAACCATCCTATTGAAGGATGGATATCTACTTGCCAGATGAAAGTAGCTAAAGATTCTGAGCAGTATTTTCAAAGTTAGCCATGTACACCTAATCTACGTACAAATTTGGAGGCATATGGAAATTACATGAACAAATGGCCAGTCTAATGCCTAGCCTATGTACACACATATGTATATGTAAATGTATGTTTGCAGCTAGATTTATTCTTATGAGAGAAGACTTAGTGGAGTGTTTCACAATATATGCAAAGCTTAGGTTCCTGATAGCAATCTTTTTATATTTGTAAGAGATTTAGAAAGCAGAGGTAGACCAGGAACCTAGAAGAATTAGCATATGCAGAAAACCTTAATCATACCATCTTGCACTATATTTAATTCAGTTAAATTGTTTTTAGCTTTGTTTTACATGTACAGTGCCTATGAGTAAATAAAGAAGGGTTTTGCTATTTAACTAAATTTGAGAAACAAAATTCAGCATTATTAATATTAGGCTGAACCCTTTTTCATGTTTCATTAGTAATTTGGGTAACTGCTACAGATAGTGAAGTGATGGATTCATTTAGTAGTCGTAATCACTGGCACCACTTTAGATGGACAGATATTAAGTGATCTTTAAATATTTTATTACACAGGCCAAAACACTACGTAAACAGATCCAGCAAACATTTCGACAGTTTGCCAACCTCAATCGAGAAGAAAGTATTCTGAAATTCTTTGAGATACTCTCTCCTGTGTATAGATTTGACAAGGAATGCTTCAAATGTGCTTTGGGTGTAAGTATAGGGGCTCTGCAGTCAGTGGAACACATAATGAAACAGTAGGTCTAATTGGCATTACTCAGCTCTGCAGTTAATTGCCTGTGGGTAGTTCACACTTTGATTAAAAGGGTGCTCTTTTTAAGTTTCATTAACCACAAGAGGATATTGATTACATTCAGACCTTTTGAAATGGCTGTTTCAGTAGTATCAGAGTTTGGTGTGGCATTTAACACTTTTATTTCATACATATTACTGCTTAGCTTCTGAAAGCCATGGAAAGGAAAAATAGCAATTTCTTAATCATTTAGTCTTGTTTAAAGAGTTTAAAGGTGTGTTAAGATTGTTCACTGAAGTTTGAAATACATGCACTGGAGAACCTTTGTCCAAAATAATTTCTTCTCTTCCCCTTTAAACTTCACCATCCCCTCCCCCTTCATCACAAAAAGTCAAGCTGGATTATTTCAGTAGAGCTGGCAATTGGCCCAGAAGACGGAATCAGTTACCTTACGGACAAGGGCGCTAATGTAAGTCTGTTTCTGTTTTCCTGTCTCAGTGACCGTTTTAAACTGTGCCTCGCTCCATAGCCTGCTATTGTGAATGAAGCTATAGACAAAGATGAATGAAAAGTCTAATCTTTGAGCTGAACTAAGAAAAGGCAGGAAATTCAAAGTAAAAGCTGTTACTCGGGCATTAACTCATGCTGTGGGCCGGAGGAAGGCACAATGGTATGAAATAAAGAGCTAGTGTCAAACTTAACTGTGGAGCTGTTGGCTTTGGTCAGCCATTGAAGCTCACACTTAAGAAACCTAACACATTGGTTCGGCATTTTTTTAACAAGAAATGTGGTAAACTTAGATGATTCTAATTTTTTTTTTCAGCAGAATATTTAGTTGGATAAATGTGTCCTTGAGTCAGTTTTAAGCACATACAGTGCAGCCATTGCTGACAAATCTGAACAGCAGCAAGTACACCAGGGATCAGCGATGTTTTTGGGCTGAGTGCCAAAAACCCGGCAACCTGGGACCTGGAAGACATTGGCGTAGCAGGGGTGGACGGCAGGGAGCCACAGGGGGTCCGATCCTTGCTGTGGCAGCGCAGTCCCTTCCCTGCCTTCTGCCCTGAGGCATGCATGCAGCCACTGCCAGTAGTGAGCCCCTCTGCTCTACCCCTCTTGGCCCCCACAGGGATGCCAGGCTTTGCAGGTGTGCAGGCCTGGCTCCTTCCCCACAGTGATCCCCGAGGCACATGCAGTAACGAGCTGGGCTGGGACTCCGGACCCTGGTGCAGTCACTTTCAGGCTTGCAGCTGCCTGCCACATCCAGCCCAGGCTCTCGGCAGCTGCTGCCTGCCACAGAGCTCAGGCTGCCCACAGTAGGGCTTACAACCTCCCCTCCGCCTGCTGGGAACTTCCTGGGCTCTGTAATGAGTGGCAGCTGCCCACAGCCCAGGCCAGATGCAGCATGCCAAGCAAAATTGCTTTGGCGCATGTGCTGGGGGTCACCGACCCCTGAAATACACCTTATTTTGTTCTTTTTGTACTTACCTCATTTACTTTCTGTTTATAGTCAATGGATCCATTTAACCTGAAATAGACTTATTTGACCCTTCTGCCCCCAAGAATATGACACAGGAATAACATTCATACAGATTCACATAACAGCAATACATCTGTCCCCTTGACTGTTGTGCTCTGTTAGTTATATCAACCTGCACTGAACTTAATTCAGCAATAAAGGAAAGATTTGGAAGTGATTTATTCAAGTGAGAACATAGCACTAAGAGCACTCAAAAGGTTTTTTACCCTTTGAGTTGCTGGAGAAGTGGAAACAACCCTGTGACCTATTGTTGTGGTGCATATCTCATGAAAATGCAGGAGGTCTGAGTTCATGTCCCATGGCTTACCTGGCATGAGCCTGCTATTGCTCAGCAGCAACCTCTTCAGATAAATACGGCACAATATTTACTGCCTAAATTCAGTCTGTGCCTCTTCACAAATAGCATGACCCCAATGGAGTAAAAACTCCAGAGAAACTGGAGGAGAAAAAGCCCAGGGTTGTGAAAGAGAAAAGCTAAATCTCAGCTAGATGTGAATTCAGATTTGTCCAGTGTAATTTAGGGATCAAATGCTTTTCCTATGTGTAGCATCAGGAGTGAGGGAGAATTATAGGCAGGATGCAACATTTATAAACATCTCAATTTTTGTGGACTTTTCTGCAGCCTACTCACCTGGCAGATTTCAATCAAGTGCAAACCATTCAGTATTCAAACAGTGAAGACAAGGATAGAAAAGGAATGTTACAACTCAAAATATCCGGGGCACCTGAGGTAAGATACTGGCACCTATGATACTTTTAAAATACTGATCATGTTCAAAAAAAACCTAGAGTTGTTTTTTGAGCTGGCTGTTGTAAAGTTGGCACAACAGAGTTATTTAAACCTATGAATTTAAACAGCAAGGACTTGATCTTGTAGGGATTATTTTTTTCAGAGGAACCTAAGTAAATTAATACCTGCTAAAATAAAGTTGTCAACATTAGAGTGCATAGAAAATATCATTTGAGAATATTTTTGAACTTTGTTATAGATGTTTGTATAGTCTGTGTAACTCGTTTCAAAGTATGAAGTATGTTCTTTTAAAGATGCTTTGACAGTGTAGTATTGAATTTGTGCCCATGTACTATTATAAAATTACATTGTAACTGTTTTAAACATAGTTGCCACAGATACTGATATTGGTGCATGCAGCTGAGATTGAAGAAATTAACTGTGCAATAAGACCTCTGAAAATGTTTATTATAGTACACCAGTTAACTTTGTTGACTGCAGCTATATAAGTAACTACATCTTTGACATCGCTCCATGTTTATATCCCTATTACTCTGAGTTTCTGAATTTTTTACTGATAACATAGATTAAAATTATGAACAATTAAATTAAAACAAATAGGATTTTGCATTATTTTATCATTAACTAAAACACAAACAGGAATGGTTTGTGCTATCTGGTAAGAAAAATTAACAAACAAACAAACGGAACTCCTAGCAGTTGATTGTTCCGAATAAAAATGCCATGGTAAGTATTTATAATACTGCATAGAATATATTACGCATGTGTTGTTTTGAATTGTAATTATGTATTAATTAAGTGAATACAGAAGTCTCCGGATAAGGATGAGGGTGAATTTAAAACAGTTAAAAGGGGAAGGGAGGGATGCTGCTTGGAAGTACACAGCAGCTGATAGGATCCTAGAATCAATGGACCAGAAGGGACCTGTAAGATCATCAGTTCTGGTCCCGTGCCACAGGCAGGATGTTAATGAGCTCAAATTAGCTCAACGAGGTGCTTATCCAGCCTCCTCTTGACCACCTCCAAGGATGGAGACCGCACCACCTCTGCCGGGAGTGTGTTCCCAGTTTTAGTTGCCCTTACGGAGAAGTTCTTCCGTATGTCCAGTCTAAATCTTCCCTCTGTTAGTTTGTGTCCATTGGTCCTCATCCTCCCTTGAGGTGCCTTCCTGAAGAGTTGCTCCCCCCTGACATACTTGTAGGTGGCTATCAAGTCACTTCCCAGCCTCCTCTTAGACTGAACAAGCCTAGTTCTTGGAGTCTCTCCTCATAGGGCCTATTCTCCAGGCCCCAGTTATGCAGGTGGCCCTTCGTTGCACCCTCTTGAGCTTATCCACATGTTTCTTGAAGTGCAGTGCACAAAACTGGGCACAGTACTCTAGCCATGGCCTCACCAACACTGAGTAGAAAGGGAGAAACACCTCCTTGGATCTATTGGCAACACATCACTGATGCATGCCAGACTTCTATTTGACCTACTGGCAACCTCATAGCGCTGTTGGCTCATGTTCATCTTCTGGTTGACTGTGACCCCCATGTCCCATTCGGGTGCTGTGCCAGCCAGTGGGCTACCACCTACCCTCTAGCTATGGTGAAGGTTCTTCCTACCCAGATGAAGGACCCTGGCACTTTTCCCTGTTAAGTCTCATCTAATGCTTGGAAGATCAGCCCATAGGACCAGTCTGTCAAGGTCGTCCTGGATTCATTCCCTATCCTCTAGTGTGCCTGTATTTCCTCACAGCTTGGTATCATCCACAAACTTGCTCATAGATCGTTCCACCCCTTCATCCAAGCCATTAATAAATATGTTAAAAAGCATGGGTCCAAGCACGGATCCCTGTGGGACACCACTGGAGGCAGCCATCCAGGATGAGGCCATCCCATTGATCACAGGTCTCTGGGACCGGCCTCTTACCCAGTTATCTACCCACCTCACCGTAGGTTGGTCCAGGCCAGTACCCTCCAGTTTAATTGAGAGAATTTCATGTGAGACAGAGTCAAAGGTCTTAGTGAAGTCTAAGTAAATGTTGTCTACCTCATGTCCCTTGTCCAGCTGGTTAGTTACCTGGTCGTAAAAGGACACGACATAGTTAGGCATGATCGACCCTCCACAGAGATAGGTCTGTTACATCTGCCTGAGCCATTAGCAGTAGCTAAATCACCCGAACTTTGACCTTGACTAGTACCAGGAGAGTAGATTTGGAGAAGGAGAAGCAGTGGACATAGGACCAAATTTTTTTAGGAGTTCTGTATGAAAAATTTATAAGGAGGACAAATGCCTTTGGGGTGACTCTCTTCTTGTGTGCTTTCTAAAGCAGGAGAGAGATGAGTTTGTGAACTTCTGGGAGTGCATTATATGTGCAGGGACAGCATGGGAAAGGCACAGAGCTGTGGGAGAAACATGCAAATGGGGAATAGATGCTGGCAGAATTACAGCGAATAAGGGAACAGGCAGACGGACAATGTGAAGATGCTAAGTCAGATAAACAGCTGAAGGGGAGGAGTTAAGTAGTGCTCTGGAAAAGAGAGAAGCTAGAATTTGTTGTGATGGGGATAAAGGAGACTAATGGAGTTTAATGATAGGGAATAGTGTTCTCAGGATAATGAACAAGAGAAGTTGTCATTATCTCAGTGCCCAAGGTCACCAGGGTCCAGCAGTTTCTATTCCTAGCTCTGCCACTAACACCCCGTGACTTTGGGCAGATCCCTTTCTTTTTCACCTCCTGTCTTGTCTGTTTAGGTTGCCAGCTCTGGGACAAGGGCTACACATGTGTGCTTGAGTAGTGCCTGGCACAGTGGAGCTCCAGTCCAGTGAGTCTCTGGGAGCTCTCATCAGACAAATACATGACAGCAGCAGCAATCGTGCTTTCCAGGCATGCTAAAGAGCTCTTTTTTCGTGGGTCTTTGGGACAGAGGATGGCTTGAGAGAGAGTGGGCAGGATATTCTAGTGATTACAGTAGGGCAGGTGTTAATGTTGTATTTGTAGCTTACTGTGTTTTTTCTGGATTTTAAATTTGACTTCTGTAAATTTTAATTTCTTTAAAAGTGTAAATTATGTTAATGT